GATTGGACGATTAGGAGGTGGAGGATCGGATTATTCTGCATTTGTTCAACACATTGGTATTCCATCAGTGGACATGACGATTGGGTCAGGTTTGTTCTACTTTCTTGTATATATACTTGCTTTCATTAACAACCTTCGTTGAAATGATCTGCTATACTGTTGTTTAAATTCGTCTTTAAATTTTATTTTTTTGGATTAATCAAATAAAATAGTATTTTTACTAGATACCTTCCCTTTCACAATATAATTCTGAAGCATAGCCAATTCATTGAGAAACAATGCAAAAGAGGGAATTCTATCGATTTTTGTTTCCATTTTGTGCTGTTTGTTTGCAGACTATGCAGTCTATCATAGCTTGTATGATGACTTCATATGGATGTCAAAGTTTGGAGATCCCTTGTTCAAGAGGCATGTTGCAGGTAGGTTTACACCAACCTACATATAATGACTTGGATTTGTACCTTTGTCACGGATGTGTCTGACCCTTGGGTTTACATACTAACATGCTATATTTCATTGCATGCTTTGTTAGCTGCTGGAAGGAGAAACGTGATACATTTCTAACCATTTTTCATTTTGAGGAGACTGGAACTTTTTTACTTCTGCATGCTGTTTTCTCTAGAACACTACTTTAGGTCAGATTATAATGTACTCTGTCTCAAAAATAATGCAATTCTAAGTTTGGGATGAGTCAAATTTTCTTAAGTTTGACAAAGTTTATAGAAAATAGTATAAATATTTGTGTCCAAATAGGTTTATTATGAAAATATATTTCATAACTAATCTAGTGGTATTTATTTGGTATCGTAAATGTTATTAACTTTTTTTGTATAGATTTGGTTAGACTTAAAATTGTTTGACTTCTCGATAAGTGAGAATTGCATTCTTTTTAGGATGGAGGGAGTACATCTTGTTTACTTATTAGCTCTGTCGTACAGCCACAGTATGTTAAAAAAAGCTTCGTTGTCTTTGTAGAATGAAACATGCATATAAAATTGTTGGGGTGAAATTTCCTTTGTGATTGTGATCCTTCATCTGTACTTTCAGTGAAAGTGGATTATGCTAAATTTTGTTAGTCCATCGGCAACATCTAAAATTAACTTTATGTTTCCTTTCTAGTTGCAAGCATATGGGGGCTTGTTGCTCTTAGGCTCTCAGATGAGGAGATCCTACCCTTCAACTACAGCAATTATGCCACGGAGCTTGAGGTAACCTGTCCTTCGGAGCTCTCAAACAAATTATGGATCCACCTGTTTCAGAATTGCTCGTTTTCTATCTTTCAATGAGAAGTCCAAATTTAGAGAATCATGACAGTTGGTCCTGGTTATCAGAATGGAGCATTGGGTTTAAGTGGAAGAGTACTGGGAATGTCTGTCAGCTTATCACCCCTGCACAAGTCAATCAAAGAGTTCAGAAAGGCAGTTCTGAAAGTGGATTCTGAATTGAAGGTATCCATTCTCCTGATTGCTGCGTGTTATTGCCTGATCCATGTTTTCAACTTTGTTTAACTTTTTACTTTATTTTTTTATTATAGGCTCTACAGACATGGAAAATTTGGGCCCCATGGAGAAACAGTCCCTTGAAGGTCAGAGACATCAATGACCGGCTGATGATGACCGAGCGGGCATTCACAGACCGGGAAGGACTGTCTGGACGGCCATGGTACAAACACCTGGTAAGTTCTTTTGGTGGGTTCTGAGAAAATACTGTCATCAGCTCATGTTATTGCCAGACTCACGGAAACGAAATCACGCAGATTTACGCACCTTCACTGCACAACGATTACGGGGCTCAAGTGTATCCAGGTGTTGATGACGCCATTCAGAGGGCGAAGAAAATAAATACTTCTGAATCCTGGCAATCTGTACAGCATGAGATTTACAGGGTCTCTCGAGTCATAAATCAGGCAGCGCTAGTTTTAAGTGGAGGTCTAACTTGAGTATTTTTTTTACAATAGCCCCGTTTCTGGTGGTACATGGCCCTTGGCCCTTGGCTATAAGGTGGTACATGGCCCTTGGCCCTTGGCTATAACTTCTTGAAAACAGTAGCTGGACTGATACAGTATTGCGGTGGATGTGATATGGAAAAAAAAACTGTAAATTTTACTGCCAATACTTAAATTTATCAGAGTTCTTATTCTGATCTGATGATCTCGTTACTTGTAAATTGCATATTTCGCTGTCCAAACTTGTCCAGTGTTCTCATCCTTATTCCGATTGTACCCTGCTGCACGTGCACACCTCACCCATGCGGCTGGTCCACGCTCCCGTGCAAACCGAACGTGCGACTGTCTCCAACGGCGCAGGCAAAGGCTCACCCAAACGCAAAATACGTTATGTACAGTATTTTGCATCCCGAAATCGGGCTCCCAGGAGGACGCATCCAAAGCAGGCATTTTGGGTACCTGGCGAATCGGAAGGCAAAAATGAGTCGTCTCTCTCGACGACGCAAAAGCATAGAGAGGGGGAGCTGAGGGGGGCTTCGGCGTGAGCACCGGCGCCTCCAGGAGCGGCGCAAGTGGGAGTCCTCCTCCTCGGGCTCCGGGGGCAGCTCCTCCTCCTCCTCCCCCTCCACCGACGAGCCCGAGCCGCGACGCATCCGGGCGGAGGCCCGCACGTCCTCGCCCTCTTTCTCTCCGCCACGCCGCCCGCCGCTCCTCCTTCCTCCGCTTCAAGCCCCGCGCCCTCGCCGCCACCGGCACCGGCACCGGAGCAACCGCGGCGCCCCCCGTCCAGATCTACGTTGAGGTAGTCGCCGGGGTTGTACTTGTGCGGGTAGCTCCCCGGGAGGTAGAACCCGCGGGCGCCTGGCAGCGCCGCCGCGACGGCGAGGAGGAGGAGCGCGCCGGGGCGGGCCATGGATCTGGATCGGCGGGGGCGCGCGGATCTAGGCCCCGCGGCAGTAGGGTCTGGAGTGGGCGGGCGGGTCGGTTGCGGCGCTCGGCCCTGCTCCGGCGAGGAAGCGGGGGCGGTGGTGTGTTGCTCGGGGTCTGTTGGAGAAGGCAGACTTTTGGGTCCGCAACCTTTTCACTGTAGCTGACCTAAACTGTCGAATAGGTATGGTATTTGGGTTGTCTTCGTTGGAGACAGTCCGCTTCATCGCTGGCTCAACGTCGCACCGCCACGCCGCAGCAACGTGCATGCATGCCCCCATATTGTGTCCTTGCCGAGGTGCCTCACCCATCCATGGTCGTGTAGCCGTGCACGTCCATCGGTCCATGCAGGCAGCAGGCGAGCTCATCGCTGCGGGAGACAAGAAAGGTTGGAAGGGTGGGGAGTGAAAGTGATGCAAGGAGATGGCAGGGGTTGGTGCTGCTAAGGTGGGGAAGGAGCGAATCGAGCAACAGCGTTGACTGGCCACTCGCCAAGCACAAGCGAGGAGGGCCATGACACATCGTGTGGCAACAAGGCAACAGCGGTGCAACGCAACACAAACAAGGAAGAGTGAAGAGGGCCACGATAGTGGGGGCTTGATTTTAGTTGATTGGCCACTCATCGAACACAAGCGAGGACACAAATGAGCAAGAGCGAGGACGGCCACGATAGTGGGGACACGTGTGGTGACAAGGCAACCACGATGCAACACAACACAAATGCATAGGTGAGGTAGACACATGTAGCGCGACTAGGTGAGGCCGACACGAAGTGCGGGAGGAGGTGGGCTGATATTATGATATAGTTGCAAGTTTACTCAAAATAAGTTTAGATAGTCCTAGTAGGATGCATGCAATTTAAAGTCTAACTCAGAATAAGTTTAACGAGTAGGGTGTGTAATTTACAAATAATTCAAGACGAGTTTGCGATTACCACCCGCAAATTTCTTTTTAAGGAAAATGCTTTCGTGGTTCTATGTGCTAAAATTCCTTTCTTGACTAAAAAAAATTCGGCTTCCTTAGCCCTTTTAGATTCGAAGTTACCTATTTGGCTTGAAATTCAACTTTCCTAATTCATTCCTTGTCCCTAAAAACGTTCGACTTCTTTCCTTCGTCCTTTTAGATTTGAAGTTACTTGTTTGTCCTAAAATCCAACTCTCCTAATTCCTTTCTTGGCCCTAAAAAAGTTCAACTTCTTTCCTTGGCCCTTTAAGATTTGAAGTTGCTTAATTGCCTTGAAATCCAACTTTCCTAATTCCTTTCTTGGCCCTAAAAAACTTCGACTTCTTTCCTTGGTCCTTTTAGATTTGAACTTACTTAATTGGCCTAAAATCCAACTTTCCTTCCTTTTATGACCTTTCCATCAGATTTGGCCATTAACGGTGTTAAGTAGAGGATGAAATATCAATTTTACCCATGGGCGAAATAGGTAAGTTTAGTTTTCATATATTTCATTTTGGTGATTATTTAGACTACTTTTGGATAGAATGTACCTTATTTTCTACAATTATGATGACTTCAAACTATGCGAAAATAGTCTAAAAATAACCCTTAAAAACTGAACTTACCTATTTTGCTTAGGGGTTCGTCATTTCATCCACCACTTAACACCGAAAGTGACCAAATTTTATGGAAGGGCCATATACGAAAAGAAAGTTAGATTTCAGACCAAATAGGTAATTTCAAATCTAGGACCGATCGAAGAAGGAAAAAACCAAACTCTTCTCAGGTCCAAGGAAGGAATTTTCTTGCGTTATAAATGGTGATTGTCGGCTGTCCAGGTGTCAGCTGTGAAACAACATTTGTAGGTCAGTTTCTTGTTTACTTCACTCCAATATGAAAAGAAACTCAAAATAAAAATTGTTCAAACCTAGAAACTAGAACATTTCTCCAGCAGAATCTGAAGGAACAGCAGACAGAAAATTATCAGATGAATCAATGATAAAGAACTCATGAGACGACTCAAAGGGAGTTGAAGTTGTAAAATGAAGGCCCTGCACAAGCAGCAGGTCCGTGTGCAAAAAAAAAAAAAAAAAAAAAAAACAGTAGCACCTAATGTGAAGCATGGCTCAAAGCTCGAAGCCAAAGATTCGGTAAAAGCTCCCGAACAATTGTTTTGGCCCATATATTATCTACGCAAGAAACCCATGGCTTGGTAAACATTGTTTAGGGTGATGTCCGCTATCTCAGCAGCTTTTCCTGCTCCTTCTAAAAGAACATTATCCAAGTAGGCTGGGTCAGACATTATCTCCTCATAACGGACCTACAAATGTGTGAAAAAAACAGAATTAAAAGAAAGGATTCGTATGAGATTAATTATGCAAATAAAAAGAACTTGATCGCTAAATTTGTCAAATACAATGGTTCAGTCCAGTTGGAGGGGTAAGCATAAGGGTTGCACATTATCAAACTGTACAGATCAAGGGTCATGGAACCTGAATAGGCTGCAAATGATCAATTAGAGCTTCCGTAAGAGTAGTCTTGAATGTTCCCCAGTTCATGTGTTGGCACTCGCTAACAACTTCCTGAAAAACAATATTAGTAAAAATATCAATCTTAACTAACTTGAAATAAGAAATTTATACTGGATATAGGTGAAACGTCTATATATAGGCAACTCTGCTTCATGTTTAGCCTGTGTATAGGTGTACCACAGCATGCAAAAATTAGATACCTCCTTAGTCTTCCCAGTGATAATCTGGTATATAGAGAGAAGATTTCCGCATTCCGGCCTCTCTGGGTTATCGAACTCCATACTGTAATATATGAGTTCAATGAAATGAGTTTCCATAACAATGAAAGGAGAGGTAGAGAGGGCGGAGAAGAGAGGAAGAGAGAAACCCTGGGAATGAGTCAGTTTTGCAGCGCTTGATTTTATTTGCGATCACCTACCAAAAAGAAGACAGCTATTTATGAATAAATCCAATCACAGAAATATATGAACATGTTATTAAAGTTATAAAAATATGGAGGCATGAGAATTCAATTCATATCACTATCCTTAGATCCTTACATCTTTTGGGTCAAGAAGGTTAATACGAGACTGATCTGAAGGAGCAGACTTGGACATCTGTCACCAAAACAGAAGTCAGCACAGTACATGTATAGAGCACAGTAATCAGGTAAGTAGAAAAATATGAACCAGCTCAGAACATAATTCAAAAATTAAATGCATATCTAGCAGTATTGTTAATCACCTTGGAGAGACCATCAGTTAGGGACATAACACGAGCCCCTGCTGGAGGAATAAGAGCTTCAGGAACCTAAATAATCAAACCAGAAGGTACTCTAATCTAAGTATAGCATAGATAACTTAGAAGGATGTGAAATTGTGTATATGCATGACATTTTGCACACCTTAAATAGCAAACCCCCTCTCCTGCCAAGCAAAAAATATAAATGAGTTGTCATGAAAAGACAAACTACTACTGGAACTGCAAAAAGAGGGACAAAAAAATTTATCTCACCCTCCCAATTTCTTCCACTTTCTTCCACCATAAAGATTATTTACACGCTCAGCTATTTCACGAGTTAATTCCAAATGTTGTGTTTGATCTTCACCAACAGGTACCAGATCGGACTGCAATCATTCAAGTAAGCCATTGTTCATATTGAGGTGAGAAAAACAAGGGAATAGATACAGCTGAATTGAAATGTTGCATTCATGCTACCTAAATGAGCTGTTAATAATTCACCTGGTACAAAAGGATGTCAGAAGCCATTAGAACAGGATAAGTCAAAAGTGCAACCCCAACATTTTCATCACCCTGATAAAAAAAAAGCATCAGCAGTACTATTATAGTCGACCTTAAAAAATCTGAAATATTTTTAACACCATAATGTAAGGCATCGAGGGATTTTGCAAGAATGGAATCTGACTCCACCTTATCACTACATATGGAATTAATGCTTCAGTAAAATAGTAGGGCTAGAACTAACAGCTTTAAAGTTTAAAGCAGCACTGAAGCTGTATAAAGTGACAAGGCATCACAGTTGTGATCTGATGATAAAATTAGACATCACATGGTGTGAACTAAGCACTCATGTTGATCAAACAGAAATCCACAATGAAGAGTGATTATTAGGCCAAAAGTATTAAAATACAAGGAAGATATTGCAAGATCATTTATCTGCACCTTTGACTCAATAATCCATCAAATGTGAAAACCAAACCCTAGCATGGAATTGATGTATCCTCAAACATGACTATGGTAGTGGCCCATAAGCACATGGAATTGCTAGTTACAAAAAGGAATGTTTTGATGAAATACTTTATCCCAGTTCTTAGTATGATGTAGACATGTGCATGTTATTGGAGAGCATTTTGAACTGCAAGAATAGTTGCATATCATTCATTATTTCATCAGGTGTTTGAATCACAAAAAATAAGATGTTGACAATGAAAGAGACATCTATATTCCTTGTCCCTTCTCATAACATGTTTAATTTCTCAAACAAAATTTGATGGTGAAAGCTGTCGTACAGCAAGTGACGCACCGCCTTGCGAGACTTCTCTTTGAACTGGATCATTCTATTCAGCCAGCCAATAGGAGTAGAAGAACTCAATAGCCACATCAACTCAACATGAGCACGGACATGAGACTGTACAAAGATAGAAGCCTGAAAACACAGAGTCATAATACATAACAACAGAAGCGTACACATACAGAATAATCAAAACACAGTGAGGCAGACCTTGGAGCTGTCGACGCCACACGCCAGATATATTGCAGCAGTGCTTCTTGTTGCTTTGGAAAGCAGTGGCGCCTCATATGGTAAAGTAATCTGCAAATATTTTGAACAAAGTGATAAACATAACCTAACAAATTTAAAAGAGCAACAAAATGAACCATAGACAGCAATATCTTTATAAAAATCAATTATGAAATAAATAGAACAAGAACAAAAGCAGCTCCTTATTCCTCCAATCCTCCTGCAAGGTAACAACATAGTTTGAATATACAACATGGAAAACACTTAGCTAACATCATAAGGTTGAAAGAATATCATGTATTACACAAATATCATGCAGCATATGTGAAAGAGATATTTAAGAAAGCAAGTTAATAGGAAGGCTGTAATTTGTCTAAGGACACCAGAACAGGGTAGAAAAATTCATTGATAACAAGCTGTTAAACTAATACAATTATTATGCTTCTGTTGTAAGATGGACATATCCTAAGAAAGAACTTACTGCATGAAGATCCACGATGAAAAAGAATGTCTCGTATAAATCCTGCAATGAAGTGACATATAAGAAGATATAACGATGCAAACTACCCTGAACAAGGGATGAATTAACACTGATAAGTTCACTACTTTGTAGTTACCTCTTGAATATAGTTCAATATAGATGAAACAATATCATAACTGAAAAGGCCTTGGTACTGAACAAACTGTTTCTTGATTAATACTTCTGATTGTTTTCATTCCTTTTAAGTTCTTTTTAGTTCTCTACCACTTAAGCAAAGCCTATACAGTGCAATTCAAAGGAACTTGTAATTTCAAAGCAACATATGTAATACCTGAAGTGCAACCCAATTCTTAATTGCCCCTAGATAATTTCCAAGGTGAACCAGTCCTGTTGGCTGTACACCAGAAACTACTCTTTTCCTGCAACAGTGAACACAGCTAGCTGTTCAATTTAGAGAAAAGAGGGTAAATAGATTTATCAGAACCAAATGACAACCTTAACATCAATTCATTACATAACTATGAGCCATCATGGAAATAGGCACCATGTCTATTCATTACACAACTAGGAGCCATCACGGAAATAGGCACCATGTCTATGGATAACTAAAAGTTCCTAGAGAAATCCTCCCCATCCAAACGGGCCCTATGGAAACTTTCTGTGACATATAAGGAAATTTTAGTCCTGTATTTTTTCCCCTTCTATTGTGCTAAACTTTCTGTCTCATGTCCCCTTCTATTCTGTTGAACTTGCAGTCAATCGAAACATGTCGTTGAAGCAAAAGGAAGGCCAAACGATCATTAGTAAATGAATATGAAGAAAAGAGCTGTATTGCAACCATGGTGTAGAGAGTTTCCTCAACCACGACTGCAAGCAGCAAGTAAAATGCATTCTACAGCAATTCAATTCTAGCATTGGTCATTTGCAGAATTCCAAAACATCACAAACCTTATATATTCAATGAAGGTATACCCGAACGCATCAACATCTGAGCAAACTCAGAGGCTTATACCATTGTATTAAAATCTCCTTTCTCTCGTAAAATCTCCTCTCTCTCTCGTGAATTAGCCAAACTAAAATGCAGGTCCACGAGGGATTCCCAAAGGCGACGTGCTAAAAGCCAAACTGCCACACAAACCCGAAAATACGCAACAAAGCATTACGTCGAACACCACCCTGACAGGGAGGCGCTGGACTTACTTCCTTGCCGGAGGAGCAGACGCTTCCTCGATGGGGCCGGGAACGGCTTCAACCGCGCTGCAATTGAGACGACGGAGTGGGTGGATGCCAGAAGCGAGCACTCCTCCTCGGGCACCAACGCCATTCCTTAAGCTACGACACCAAACGGCGGAAAAAAAACAGAAGTTGCAGCGTCAACGGCGAGTAATAAAAAGGGTTAGGGTTTGAGCAGAGCGTACCAGGTGTACGCGAAGTGCGGCGGGCGGTGGAGGACGTGAGAGAGGAGCGCGCGGCTCATGGCGTCGTCCCCGTCCTCCGCTACCCTTCGGATTTGGCTGCGCGGCTTTGGTTGGAGAAGCCGCAAGCGGACAGCGTGCTTGGACGTGTCTTTCCGCGATGGCGAGCTGAGGCAGGGTGGGCCGCGTAAAACAGGCCGGGTGGAACCGGACGGTGCGGATCCAGCCCAACCCAACAGACATTCTAGAGCCGGCCTACCGCGGGGGCACGTGGCGACACCTCTCCTGCAGCGTGTCCGGCGCGGACGACAGGCACCGCCGTCGCCGTCACCCCATGGCCTCGGTGTCCGCCGTGCTTCTACAGCGCTCCTCCTCGCGCGCCCGAGAATATTTACGGCTCCAGCGCACCGCCAGCTACTCAGTTGCGCTGCATTTGGAGGGCGAGGGCCTGCGCTGGTGGTGGAGCAACAGCTGCGGCCGTGGCGGGAGGTTTGGCGCGAGAGCGGCGCACCGTATGGCGGGATCAGGAGAGGGGGAAAACGGCGGCGTGCCGGAGGGAGGTGAAGTCGCGATGGCACCGGGCGTGGTGACTGGCGGCGTGGAGGACGCCTACGGCGAGGACCGCGCCACCGAGGACCAGCCTGTCACGCCGTGGGCCGTCTGCATCGCAAGGTATGTGCGGGTTTCATTCTGCTGCTCCTGTTATGTTTGGTATCCTCTGATTCTACTGTAAATATTAAGACGACCACGTATCGGCTGAACTCTGAAGTTGATATTCGTTTGGATGTACCTGTCCATTTGAACATGTGTCATATTGATATACGAAAATCGTGGAGCAATCTGGCCATGAACTAGGACGAAACTCAACTGGTGTTCTGATGTGTGCATGGCTTCAAGATTGTGATGTTTTGTCATTACCGGGATTTCAGTGGTCACTCCCTGCTGAGGGATCCAAGGCACAACAAAGGGCTTTCGTTCACGGAGAAAGAGCGGGACGCGCACTACCTGCGAGGATTATTGCCTCCTGTAGTGCTATCTCAGGACCTCCAGGTCTGCTACTTCTATTCTACTTTCTCTACCTTAGACTTTGCGCGTTAGCAGTTGATGATTTCAGTGAAGCGTGTGCATCTTCTACAGGAGAAGAGGATGTTGCAGAATGTTCGGCAATTCCAGGTCCCGTTGCAGCGCTACACTGCGCTAATGGACCTTCAGGTAAGCCCATCGACTTCTCCAAGAGAAAATTTGGATTCACAAAGTCAGTTGCAGCTAGCCAGATTATTATTTCAGTCGTGAGTGCTTTTATCTGTTGAACGATGCATTTGTTTTCCAGGAGAGAAATGAGAGGCTGTTTTACAAGCTCCTGATTGACAATGTAGAAGAACTACTTCCTGTTGTGTATACACCAACAGTGGGGGAAGCTTGCCAGAAGTATGGGTCGATCTTCAGACGACCGCAGGGCTTATACGTCAGCCTGAAGGATAAGTGCGTTGTCCCTCCACCTCTCTTCACAGTAATTGCTTATATCTGCTGAGAGCCTTAAAGGATTAAGGGTGCTTATGATGTGCTTTTCATGCTAGGGGGAGGATCTTGGAGGTACTGAGAAACTGGCCAGAGAAGAGTATTCAGGTTATTGTGGTCACTGATGGTGAGCGTATTTTAGGCCTGGGAGATCTTGGTTGCCAGGTTAGTTACATTGCCCTGCCATTTTTGCTTTGTCAAGGATCATTTGTGCTTCTGAATTTTTTGTTAAGCGCAGAGTTTGTTGCTTATATATAATCTTTTTTTTGTGTGAAATATGTATAGGGCATGGGAATTCCTGTGGGGAAGCTTGCACTGTATACTGCTCTTGGAGGTGTACGGCCATCAGCTGTGAGTACTTTACATGTGAATATACAGTTTTAAATTGGCCCATGTGAATATACAGTTGTTTATTAGCAGTCTGATGTAATATTTTCCTCCATGTTGTGTCATAGTGCTTGCCTATTACTCTTGATGTGGGAACAAATAACGAAGATCTACTAAAGGATGAATTCTACATTGGATTAAAGCAAAGAAGAGCAACTGGCCAGGTTCCATACTACTTGCATTGGCTATGCTCGTTCAATTATCATGATTCATGTTAACCTTTATGATTATGGATCTCAATATATTCATTTTCTGAATCAGGAATACTCTGAACTTCTGGATGAGTTTATGGCTGCAGTTAGGCAGAACTATGGACAAAAAGTTCTTGTCCAGGTATGGAAAATAGTTGAAAATAAATTATTTGTTTCCTACTGAACTGTAGCAGACCACTTTCTAAAATTTGTTTGGCCTCACAGTTTGAGGACTTTGCAAACCACAATGCATTTACACTTCTTGAGAAGTACAGGACAAACCATCTTGTATTTAATGATGATATCCAGGTAATCAAATCAGATGTTAGTTAATTTATCTTACTTTTCTTAAAAAATCATTGAAGTTTGTTCCAGACAGCAGTACTAACTCTGAAACCCTGATATTTACAGGGCACGGCTGCTGTAGTGCTTGCAGGGCTTATCGCTGCTCTGAAATCTGTTGGTGGGACTCTAGCTGATCATACATTCTTGTTCTTTGGTGCAGGAGAGGTGATTGACCCTTTTTTGGAAATTGTAGAGTAAATGCTACTGCTCACTATTAATTACTGCATGTATCAAAAGTTCAAAACTACATCGCATTTGCTTACTTGCCTTCACATTCCCATGAATCTTGTAATCAGATGAAGATAGTAGGGAACACTATCAGTTCCAATAGGTTCTTTTCAGTATAGACATGCCCTTCGGTGTCTTGGGGATAGGATCGTATTGGAAATCATCTTGTACTTGCTGGTTTACATTCCAAAAGAATGGTTTGGTTGTCCTGAGATTGTCAATACTTTGGCAAACATAAGTACATAATTGGTATGCTAGTATTAACTATGGTTTATCATAAACACAAATGTATGTCATTGACTTTCGTGTTCAATAAAGACTGCAAAGCATCGGCAGAGCAATGGCGATACAGATTTCCAAGAAGGAAAAGGCCAATTGTTGATCAGTGGTGTCAGGTTTTCGAATCAGCAAGAAATGGATGACTAGTGCTCATACTTGTTTTTGATAATAAACAACTATCACCACCACCTGTGTGATGATATGTAACCAAACACCTTGTATAACTATATAACGGGCCGGTTTTTGGGCCAATATATAAATCAGGTGGGGAACGCCTCCCCCCGTTGAAATTCAAAAAATAAAGACTGCAATTTAAAGGTCCATCTGTCTGTCTTGCAGGCTGGTACGGGCATTGCTGAACTGGTTGCTCTGGAGATATCCAGACAGGTAGTAACTTTTCAAGTTTGGCTTAACTGGAGGAATTTGCTGGTGACCATAGTAAGTTAGTGATGTTTCTTTTCAGGCAAAGGTTTCTGTAGAAGCGGCTCGCAAAAAGATCTGGCTGGTTGATTCAAAGGTTAAGAAGTGTTCCCTTCCTATTTATTTTTATTTTTATTTTTGTGAACACATTATAAAGGAGTCTGTCGTGTGTTGCAGGGACTGATTGTGACCTCACGTAAAGAGACACTCCAGCCGTTTAAGAAGCGATATGCACATGAGCATGAACCTGTCAAAGATCTCTTAGGTGCTGTTAAGGTACAAGGCTGAACCAAAGGGGATACAAATAGGCTTCCATTGTGGATTTTCATGGTTCATAAGTCTTTTTCCATTTTTCAGGCTATCAGACCGATTGCACTAATAGGATCAGCTGGTGTGGGTCAAAGTTTCACGAAAGAGGTGATTGAGGCTATGTCTTCGATTAATGAGGTGACACTTAACATCACTTCCTTGTCTAGATAGTTTGTTTTGTATCATTTCATCAAGTATTTAGAATTAACTCCAATTGCAGAGACCGATTATCCTGGCTCTATCAAACCCAACGTCACAATCTGAATGTACTGCTGAACAAGCATATACATGGAGTCAGGTAGCGTTTCATGCATAGTTTCATCTTTCCACATGCCAAATTTATTTCGAATGCCTCAATCTGAGGATACATATGTAAACAGGGGCGTGCCATATTTGGGAGTGGAAGCCCATTTGATCCGGTGAAATATAATGACAAGCTGTTTGTGCCTGCCCAGGTATGAAAACTGGCTTGTGCACACAAAGTCCTTAACTTATTGATAGTTTCAACTACTTGTGAACTTTATCTTAAACTATAACAGGCAAACAATGCATACATTTTCCCGGGGTTTGGACTAGGGGTGGTGATCTCAGGAGCAATCCGGGTGTCAGACGATATGGTCCTTGCTGCTGGTAAACCCAATCTGCAAGATTTCAAGACGATCATTCGTTTCTCGATATGCTTTCCTGTTCGACAGTTGTCACTAATTCTGCATCTTTTTTTGGGGTCATTGGTTTGCGGATTGGACAGCTGAAGGACTAGCTGAACAGGTAACCCCGGAACATATTGAGAAAGGCCTGATCTACCCGCCCTTTTCCATCATCAGGAAGATTTCAGCTAACATAGCTGCCCGTGTAGCCGCAAAAGCTTATGATCTCGGTATTTTTGCTGCTTTGGGGTACATTTTACTAGAAAACTTTAGCGACTTCGAGACACCATGTAAGTTCCATTCTTCTGCTTCACTTTCCGCAGGAATGGCTAGCCAGCTCCCTCGGCCAAAAGACCTGGTGAAGTACGCTGAGAGTTGCATGTACAGCCCCGTCTACCGATCGTACAGGTGATGTGAAGAGCGAACAGTGCTGGCATCGGATACACGGATGGGTGTGTTATATATATACAGCTTCACTTGCGTATGCCTATACATTGACATCTACTGCTGAGCTGCTATGCTTGTACTGTTGTACATATCCTCCCTGTGACCGTCTTGTAAAACGTGTGGCGAAGTCCGCTACTGTGGAGCTGATACTACACGTTCGTACTTTATGTAGCTGTGTAATAAAGTTCAGGGGATGTAAGTATTGACATATTCCTACGTACTAGTCTACTCCTGTATGTTCTCATGCTTGTCGGGGGTTTCTTGTACTGAGTACATGATTTGCCGGCGCCTATGCAGTCTTGAGGTCTCTACACAAGCTTGGGCGACGACAGCATTCAACTCTAAGTGCAAGAAATTGTTATTAAAAAAAAACTCCCAAGTACAATACGCGATGCTTTGTAATTAGCTGCTACTTGCTACTACGAACGGACGTCAAACTCTTAAAATGAACGCCATCATCCGGACGTCAGGAACTCAGGATTGTCGCATCAAACCGCATTTGTCAAAATATGTGCAGCACGAGTCGATTATGCCACGCAAATTTTGAGTTCGGACGCACACATGGATCTGAAAGCAAATTGGGTCTGGCAGAGAATAATGGAAGGCAGAAGTTAATGGACTGCTGCAACTGCAACAAAAGGTCACGCAGGTTATACACGGATGATCTGATCAGTTCTATCTTGATTGTGTATCATCTGAAACTTGGGAAGTGCGTATCGCCCAGAAGGATCTCGGATGCAGGTTCTTGTTATCGGCTCTGAACAGCCAGCCTATATTGGACTGGCAGGCACTGCACAACGCGATCGTCCATGTGTATCTGCAACCAGAAAAAGAACTTAGCCAGTGTATCAGGCAACCATGGTAACTGTGTGATTTCGAGGTTCAAGTGGAGAAACGAAAAGAGAAGGAGCTGGTAAAATTATCATACTCTGGAAACCAGCTGTGAGTTTTGGAAGGGTCGCCGCGCAGTGCAAGGCCAGTGGCACTGTATACTGTGATAATCTCTTTCACAGAACTGTGGGGCTTGCTGTGAGTCATCATCGGGCTGTCACTGGACGTCACCACCATGTCACTTCGTCTTGCAATACGGGTCTACAACAAGAAAAGAACCTGTCACCTCTTGTATTAGTCAAAACTATGCATAAACTATTTGATCAGTTTTATAGCTGATATCCCCAGGACTACCCCAGATCCAAGAATCAGATGGGACGACAACCAAGCAAGAGTTTATGTGCTGATTCTCAAAAATTAACTCCCCAAAAGTCCACTCGACCAGTGAGGTGTAACCATCTCTATGGAAATAAGGGACTTGCTAAAGTTTTCTTTCAGGCGACGGTTATTACATATATTTTATACTAAAATTGCAGCTTTAGTTTGTTGCAATTTATGTAGGCATAGTCTGCAATTTTTTATTCCGAGAATAAAAAACTGTTAGACAAAACCACAAACTCGATAAAATCTGATCTAAACCGGCACAAAGACAATTAACAATTTACAATTGGTTCTATAGTTAGACAAGGACAAAAAATTGATATGTTATGATACAAAGACATTTACAAATCACAGAAGTAACAATTTACTTGCACTAGTTGGTTGTACAAGAGTGTTGCCTGAAATTATCTTACAATTCATGCACCTCAAATATAGAAGTGTGGAAATAATAAGTCAGCTTCATTTTTTCTTTTTATTAGGTATTCGAAACACTGCACATATGCAAAACAAAAGGTTGAAATCCTGCAGAACCTAAATGACAACAAAATTTGAAATCCTGGATCCAGTTTCATTTTCATGTCACCACTATGGCACTATGCATGAATGCATTATGCATTACCACCACTGGTTCCAACTGCAGACTGGACAGAGATAAGGTCACAAGTCTTGGCTATGTGAACAGAATTGAAGAAATGGAGCATGATCAGAAACTTTGAGAAAGTAACTGTTACTGTTTAAAAGAAAGTAAACAATACCAGGCAATTTCTACATCGTATGATATTGAAGGCTTTGAGTAGCTGAATCTCCCGCTGTAGTCGATATGAGATTCCATCAATCTCAAGCAATTCTTGCCTTAGAGACTCTGAGATAGGAAGTTTGCTTCCAAAGCAAAATGACAAATAATTTGGTTTCCTCACATGATCATCCATGATTGGGTTTAAGATTACTTGTCTCCACAAATCTGCCATGAAGAAAATTGAAGGTCATACATACAACACTTAAATCACAACTGAACAGATTTATACTTTGACATAACAGGACTTATTTCTCTATAATATAAAGATATAAGCAGCTTTCCAGCATGTCCAAGAAAAAAATTACAGGAACAAATATTATACAGTTAACAATCAATGAATGCAGAGTAACATAAATTCAGTTTGCTACAATTCAAGAGAAATAAAAAGGAGCAGAGAAATAACTTGGTACCTGCAGCTCTCCTAGAAAGTGAATACGAATCATACATCTCATAAGCCCAGCGCGGCCAAAATGACAATGGGGCCTGTGATGCATTTTTTGTTGCGAAGTAGTGTTTCTGCTGTTTAGTATCTTTGTTTCTTGCTCTCTGAAAGGATTTGGAGGATATGAAACAAAGATTATCATCATCTCCTGTGTTTGTATTCTTATCTGGCTGACCATACCCATCGATTTCTTTTACAGACTTATGGCTCTGGCAAGACTGTTCAGGTATAGAATTTTGGCCTTCATTTGAGGATTCATCCACAATACCACACCTTACCAAGCCACTGGACCGGGAACCTAAAAGGTATATTCTTTTATCTGTTACTGAGTAGTCACTTGAAGTGCTAGTGGGTGATAGAGAATCCCTATCCATATCAGAATCCACATGATCAAGTTGTGTAGAACATGACGCATGCAAACTGGTCACTGTCGATGAAGCACATTGCCTGAAACTGTTAGTTGCAGCTAACTGTCCAAAAGCATCTCTTGGAGTTCTTTGAGGTGTATCTTCTTCAATAATTTGGACTTCACCCCATGGCTGTCAACAAGAAAAATGCCATGAGAATATGCTCTCTTCCTTTTAGTTCAGAGAATTACATACTTTTTACTTAGGCCCTGTTTGGATCATAGCTGGATCATTATGATCTAGATTATACATAGGATTATTATAATCTGGATTAATAATCAGAGTGCTTGGATCCCTGGATTATTTTTGTAACACCCTAGGTGTTTGGCTTCTACAAAATTGCATTTCATTTCTTAAACATGTGCATCATCTATCTCATCATGCCATTGTCACTGAAACATGCATATGCAACATTCGCAATTATGTTTGTTTCATACTTGATTGCTTGTGAATGGTAGTAGTGCAACATGTGAATGCAACATGAGTTTCTTATACCTTGAAACATGGCAACATGGTAGGAATGTGGCAAGTTAAAATTTCAACAAAAGTAATGAAACATGTGAAACGTGGAATTGCAACATTTGAGTGAATTGATTGTTTTGTTGCTTCATCACATGTGATCATTAGAAGTTGGTGTAGCACTTGTGTAAAGTGGTTGATTATGGTCTAATACACCTTAACTACACTTAGGGTAATTGATGGGACATTGTTCATATGGATCAAAATAACAAAAATGCCCTCAAGTGGAGGTTTGACTTAGAATGACCTATAGAGTGCCAATGTTTGACTGATTCAAAAGACCAACTTAGAGACCTTGCATGGCTGTGCACCCTTTACCAAAGTTGTAGCTAATTTATCAAGGAACAAAAGTTGTTTTATGATCAACTCATGAAAATGGCTAGAACATGCTCAAACAGGGCCCACAGGTCAGGTTTCCCTGCTGATTTCAGACTTAGAAAAATTCTTCAGTCAAGTCCTGACTTACCGTTTCATGAGCCCCTCTTTGCGACCTTGTATTTCCCAATCCAGACCGAATTAGTACAAGCTCAAATTAACAAAGTTGTTGTACTCACTTGGATCTTCAATTTTGTTAACTATACCACGAACCAGATCGCCATCGTTTGGGAGTTATGGATCGTCGAAATCACGTTGTCAGTCGTGTCATCGGGCGTCAATTCAGTCCGTTTCAGAAAACCGACAGAGCACGCCGTGGCCGACCGGCTCAGGAGCTGATCACCGCGTGCTCCCAGATGAAAGCCAAGCCAGCGCCTCGCTCACTCCCTCTTCCTCTCGCCATTTCCCCCTCTGCCGTTCTCTTCCGCGCGAGCGCGGCGACCGGGAAGCAGTGGCAGCCGCCGAGCCAAAATCCACCTCAACCGAGCGCCTTGGTCCGATTCATCCCAGCCACAGCACCACCGTGAGCTCCTCCACGTCCGCGACCACACCGTCATCGCGTTTTCGCCTCAGGTAGAGCTCCCCGTGAGCGCGGCTCCACCGGGTCGCCATGACCGCCGCCGGCCGAGCTCGCACGTGGCCGTGCTGCTCGAGCCTCTTACCGTCCCCTCTATCCCTTGCGCTAGGTCCTGTGAGTGCTACTAATGCTCGTAGGGTCACCCACTAGGGCCGCGACGCCGTCACCTCGCCGGAGCCGGCCAAGCCGTGGCCGTGCGCCGCCATGGCCATCGCCATTGCCTTTAGCCGCGGCAATAGCTTCAATAGATGGTTCCACTAGACGCGCACTGGTGAGGCGAACACCGTAGCACCGATGGCCTCGCCGAAGCTGTCACCGGCGACGAGTTGCGCCGCTGTCTTTCCTTCCCCCCCTATCTGTCTCGCTGACGTGCGGGGTCCCCTTGTTAGCGGAAGCGCGCAGGCGGGAGCCAGCGTGGGCCGCGCCGAGTTCTGGGCCGCGCCAGCGCGTGCTTCGCGGGCCGCCGTGTCCTTCGGGCCGGCCTAGCAGTAGAGTTAGGTTTTCAAATTTGTTTTGTTTTGTTCTTTTTCACAGATTTGTGTGCATGTTCAAAAATGTGTATCTCCTAGTTGGTAGCTTCAAATGATGTGGTTCTAATTTTGTTGAGTTCATGATAATGTCTAGTTTATATTAAAAATATAATTTATGTCATGTTCTGTTATAAAAAATAGAGTTGCTAATTATCTCTTTTAATCATGAAGAGGAAATAGGGGTAATTATATCTTTTTCTATGTAGCTCCAAATGAGATGAAATTTTTATGGTGTACTGCTCATATCATGAATAGCTTGTAGTTAAATTTTTATATATTTTGGACACTATATATAGGAGATAGAAAATTATCTTGTTTGCATGGATAGATCTTGTGTGAATTTTTATAATTTTTCTATAGATCCAGTAAAGGTAAAATTTGGTGAGTGCTATTCTTATGCTAGAATGATGCTAGGAAAAATGAGAAATCTGTTGCTTGACACTTTTTAATAGGGTTTCTCAATTATGCTAGAAATAGACATGCCACCTGTTATTTTGGATACAGCAAGTTCTGCTTGCCCAATGACTTTGAAATTTTTATGGTAGTCTATGTGAAGCATGAGATAGCTACTTTAATTTTTGTAGATTTTTCTGAATAGTTTTACTATATATTGCTTTAATCACCTAATTAACTAAATAAATTAGAAAATAATATTAAATAATTTATTTAGAAGTTGGCACTATACTTTCTGATGTTCCTCTGGTATGTGCAACAAGTTGGTAAACTTGGTTTGGTCCAATTATGCTTTTGCATCATCACTAAATAATTAATTTAGTAAACCTGTCATTTCTGGATAGATTTTAGGTTTACTTAAATTCGATTTGGTTAACGTAAGAATCATGCTTTGATGTTTATAAATGATTTGTAGAGAATTTCATAAGCTTTCCAGAATGTCCTCATACAAGTCATTTGGATTTGTAGAACTCTTGTTGTGATTGAATTAAGGAACTACTCGTGTGCATATGAAACTCTAACTGCTGATTTAAGTATGCCTTTACTATTTCCTAAGCTGGTGGTAATGTTCCTAGGTGTTAGGCCTTTAACTGAAGATGAGCATCTTTATCTTAGGTTATGCAAATTAGGTAAGTTGATATCATTCTTCAAATTAAGTTAGAAACATGTTTATAGTGATTTGAATAGAGCTATTCTTAATCGGTAAACGAGTGTCCAGTGATGTTTTCGTTAAACATTTACTGTGATTTATTCATCATGAGCATCATGTCATTCCTTATGCATCCATGATATTTATCTTGTGCATCGGCATGCAATAGGTGTACCGGAAGGTGTGACACTGCTGGAATTCGAGGAACCGAGCGAGGAGCAGTAGCAGCCACCACCGGAGGTTCTGGAGGTGCAGCCCTCAGGAGAAGTGCCAGACGAGGTCGCCGTTGAGTGCCCGGATCACCTTCCGTGCAACTTTGTGAAAGGCAAGCCCCGGAGCATATTAAGCCTCCTAATTTTGAAATGCAGTTAAAGTATTATTGTTACATATATATATTGTTGCATTAAGTTTAGGTGTTGGATCCAAACACTTGCTGCATTGGTTATCCAATCCTTGTCCAGATATTGACACCCTGAATCCTATGTAGCTCAGGCTCGCGTAGTGCTTAGTCCTGCTTAAACGCGGTAGAAGTCAGATGATTTCCTGTCACCTGCGAGAAATAGGAATATACATATGGCACGGTTGGCTATATTTGCTATCGTGGAAAAGAACCTGTCTTAATTTGAAATGAAGACCGGACAGAGGCTTGCCGGTTTGTAGTGACTCCGTCTGTGTCGCTTAAGGACTGAATCTTGGAGCTTTCCTGTTCATGTTGAACGCATGCCTCTCTCTTAGTTGGCCGTGTCCGAAGACCGACCACGAAGCCGAGTAGCTCACCTCATGCCGGGAGTCGATAAGTATAAAGTGTGTCTCGGAAGGGAGCCGTAGGCGTGAGTCCAAGGGCAGGTGATTTAAAAGTCCTGATCGTCCTGGCAGAAGGGTAATCCCTGAGAGTGCTGGCGCTGATCGAACCCGCGAATTTGGTTCCTGAGTTGTCCCAAAGGTGACCCACGGCTACTCTTGCAAAGTATATCAGGGTGAGAGTTAGGAATACCCCCTCAGCTGAGTTGTAATTCGATTCGAATCGCCGTCTCTCCCGGTTAGTGAGAACTTGACGGGCTTATCTCCAAAGTAGATACACTAAATAACCTAATGGTTCAGAAATGATGATATGATGATGACAGCCTTATTATACTTGCTATGGTTAATATTGATTGCTCCTAATAAGTGAGTGCTCTAGTACAAGTGCTAATCTAGTGGACAGGTAAATGAGGATAAGTTTGATGCTAAATTTAACTTGGTCACTATATTCATAAGTTCTTTTATGCAAATGTGTCAAGCTAGCCCACCTCATAAGCCCTGCATGACCCTTGGTGTCTTTTATTTCTGGTTTTGACGGGTAAGTCTAGCTGAGTACCTTCTCGTACTCAGAGTTTATCTCCCACCTGTTGCAGGTGACCAGTTCTACTTTGGTTGCTGCAAGTATTGCCTTCTCCCGGCTGGGGATGAAGACTAGACCGTTGGGCGCGGTCTCTCCTAGTTCTCGTATCTGAAGATGCTTTTGTGGGACATGACTAAGATCTAGCAGTGTATTTGAAACTATGAACTATGTTGCTTCCGCAAATTTGAACTTGGTTTGTAATATTTTATTTGAACTCTGATGGATGTAATCCGAATGCTACTTGTGAAATGTTGTAACGAATGATGTGTTGTGTTGAATCACTACGGTCTTGATTTGTATGTCGAGAGTTGGTTGAAATCCTTCGTGATTTCCGGACTACCGGGATTATGGGAGCTTAAGTACAGGAATTTGATCTCTTCGGTGATTGTTTTTGTATTTATGTTCTTATGATTTGATCGGTTCTGTTACAATTGTGGTGGATTATTCTTGGTTGAAGTGACAAATACTCATCATCACCAAAAAGCAGGTCCAAGGTGGATTATAGGATTATTGTAACCTGGTGTTTTGATTATAATAATCCACCTGACCACCTTATAATCTAGCTTGTTTGGATCACAATTACAATATCTTAGCTGATTATTATAATCGCAGTGGATCCAAAGAGGCCCTTAATTATTAAGACTTACTACTCCGTCGACATCCAACCAATGGCACATAAGACGAAACCGCTGCTGACCATGAGAGAAAATACATGATGAACTGTCATCCAAATGTTGAATTTTCTGTATCTATGAAGGCAACATAAACACACAAGTTAATTTAACTCTTGACAGTCTGACTAATGAGAAGGAAGGGCTACAGGTGAATATAGATAGTTTGGATGAAATAACAAATAAATAAAACTTGCACCAATATATAGCTCACAACTTATAAAAAAAAAACTCGACCTGCGGGGGATAAGACAACCCCTGGGTATTGCATTAAACTCACAACTTATACTAGTCAAGTTGATTTTAAAATTGCAAAATGTGTGAAAGGGTGTTAACCAAAAGAAGTCAGTCTCAGAGACATGTTAGTGGCATGAAAATGGCACTCGTAGTGCACTAGTGTGCACTTGAATTCCAACTTCCAAGATGTTTTGTATCAACTGATCGATGCAAAACAACAAATAGCCCCAAGAAAGTCGGGATAGACTCATCAACTGATCAATGTACAAATCCAGAAATTTGGTTGCAGGGTCTATTTTCGAGAACAAGGAGACTATAATCAACCATAGCTTCTCAAAAGAAGAAAAGAAAAACACAATAATCAACTTTAGCTGCGGATACAATAAGGATGTTTTCCAGTAAGTAAATGTCTATGTCCTGTGTGAATTCATTATTTCTTTTTAATGGCTTGATATATGTATTTTAGATGACATTAAATGTTTTTACAGATTCCAAGTCTAGTCCAGTGGTGAAGCTGGAACCAAAATGGCAGTGGTGCACCAGGAGGATATGGTCAAAACAAGCCAACTGTGACCTAAATTTCATTTTACTGTAGGGCCGCACCCTAGCCCTATGTTCTGTCGCCCCTCGTCTAGGCTTTAGTTGTTACTAACTTATTATAGAAGACATCAAGGATATTTGTTCTTTTTGGTTCCTAGATAGAAAAATCATGTACATTAATATAGAAATAATTTATCATTTTATCATATGAGCAGATAATCACTAGTACAAACAACTCAATGAGAAGGAAGACCACAAGTACACATGACATAACTAGTAATTAATAGCTTAGAAACCACACCTCTGCCATTGTCCCGACAGAAGCAATAGTATAATATCCATCATTTGTGTGTCGATAAACATAAACCTGACATTGGACCATAGCCAATTAAAACAGACAATGTAACAATGCATCACGACAATAAGAAATGGCACTCACCACGCCTATCATCCATGGAGCATCAACATGATTAATAGCCTTGTCAATAGCTTCCACTAATCTAGGCTGAAACACTTGAAGATGTAGGGAAGCTTCAGGAAACAAAACAACTCCTGCAGAAGTTCCATTACAGAACATGTAATATAATCCCACTATGTTGAAAATGTACACCATCAACATAGAATAGTCCTCACTCCGGTGAAAAAGGCCAACACAGTACACAGATGGGCATTTCTATATATACTTTGTAAGATGAGATTATTACCACTAGTTACACAGTTAATATTAGGTCTGTTCAGATTTCGGGAAGGACAACAGGTTGGCCCACTTCAAAATGTATTGTCCTCATATTCAAATTAATTGCCCAACGTCCGTGAAGAACTTATCTGAAACATGGTTACAGGGCAAGGGTCCCCTACCCATCCGATTAACCCTTTTCATCTTTGCTTGGGCTATTTGGAATAATAGGAACAAGATGGTTATTGAAAACAAGTTTCCCAAGGCCCCGTCTGACATCATCTATGTTGCATTATCATTCCTGCAGAAGTGGAGTGTACTCCTCAAGGAGGATGATCGCTAACGCATTCCGCAAGTGAAGAACCAAATCCTGCACTGGATGAAGAATTTCAGGCCTAGTGTGTTGATGTCTACTGATATCTGTGAAATCTAGATCATGTACTAGGCTGTCGTGTGTTCTTTGACTTTCCTGAGAAACTGGCTTCCCAGTATTGTATCCGACTATGCTTTATTAAAAGCTGAGGTAAAACTCTCGTGTAAAAAAAAAAGCTTAAGTTTGCAAAAATTCCCCAATCCTAATCTCCACCGCCTCCGAATTCAGTCTGTAATGTATTTTCACAATAACTAACATCGTCAGTCACACCACTCTATCCCCGTGAAACTCCGAATTCTGAAATATGATGTTGGATAAATATATTTTTTATATAAAATGTGTAGCCTCCAATACGATCTACACCTTATACATTACGATCTACACCTTATACATTTAAAAAGTATCTATCTGACATCGTATAAGAAATATACGATTTTTTAAAAGACATCCTTTTTCACCATTAATATGCTCTTTTAAATTTATATTACTTTTAAGCAATTTAACTATCTCAAATGAAAAGTATCAAACTATTTTTTTTTATCTCATCGATAACTACAACTTATCTTAACAACCTCATAAAAGTATCATCATTTGACATTATACAGAGAGAGATTAATTTTCTAAGATGACAAATGCTTGTATGTGATTATTATGCAACTGAAAGTTTATATTATTTTTTGGACCATCCTAGCGATCTTAAATGGAAAAACTCAAAATTAGAAAGTTGTAGATCTCATCGAGCTCAACTTTCATATAAAAATCATCTTCATCCAACATCGTTTGAAAAAGATATGATTTTTTATAAGGTTAAGTCTTATCACGTCACTCCTGCTAGAGCGACCAAAGTGTACTATCGCGCCAACGAGAGTGGCGTGACAAGATCTTTCACGTGAAAATAGTCATCCAACATCGCACATCTTGCCAAGCCAACGCATGCGGCGCGGTCCTCCTCGGTCTCCCCTTCCCGCAGGGGTTGTCGACGCTGACGTTGAAGATTGTGCCTCCGCGGAAGGTGCCGAGCACGACGCTGCTCGGCGACTCCCGCAAGACACCGGGAAGATATCCTAAATATACCATGAGATCTGTTAGGATACGTATGATCCCATGATTCCTGTAATCTGTTATTACTTTCCGGATATCTCTTAGATCTAACCGACTTGTAACCCTGCCCCCCAGACTATATAAGGCGGGCAAGGACCCCCTCCAAACACACGCAACATCATACGATAGTCAATACAATCCAACAGACCACAGGAGTAGGGTATTACGTCGTACTGACGGCATGAACCTGTCTAACTCGTGTGTCTCTGTTGCCTTCTTGTTCTCGATTACACGCATCTCTGCCGATCAATCTACCTTCGTGTGATACCCCTCGGAGGACTGCCGACGATATTCTGTCGACAGCACCGGTCCAACATAAGCACTGCACAGCGTCCTGATCCACATGCAATCCCTCCTTGATCGCCTTGATCCTGAAGTGTAGGGCACTGCAACAATTCGCTTCTGTTGATAAATGAGCAAAAAGAGAGAAAAAACGCATGAATAAGCCTGGTGGACAAAGACTATGAGAGGACAATAGCAATACCAATACTACGGCTTATATACTCCTATAATCTTATTCCATCGTTATACTCCATCTGTTTCAAAATAAATCAACTTAGTTATCCTAAGTCAAATTATTTTAACTTTAACCAAATTTATAGAAAAGATTATAAATATTTATGACACGAAATTAGTATCATCAAATACATCATGAAATATATTTTCATCATCTACTTATTTGGTGTTATAAATGTTATTGTTCTTTACTATAAAATTAGTCAAACTCAAGATAATTTGATATGATGATTCCATGAGTTGATTTATTTTGGGACGGGAGGAATATATTACACATGAGACAATAATACCATCTTTCAGGCGAGCTTGTAAACTCACAGCTACACAAGGTTCCCATCCCATCCTCTCCTCTTACTTTTTTTTTCTTGACAAAATAATCTCTTATTACAGTTTTTTGCCTATCCATATGCATATCATCTCTTGTTTCGCTTCGTATGCTGACCCCTACTTGCTGCGCAGCAGGGCCACTGGGCCAGTTAGTTGTAGTGAGCTATCTTCTTGGGCCATACTCCCTTTTCCTGCTCCTAGTCCTTACATCCCGGGCCTGGTGGCAGCTCCAGCAGGACCAGCTTGTCGTAGCAGCTGTGTGTATTAACACAAACTGAGATCCAGGCTCATGACACAAGCTACAGAACAATGGATGAGATTTATCGTGGATGATTACCTGGAAATAGGCCTCTAGTTTCTGCCTCAGGGCACCGTGCTCCCTCTTCACTTTCTGGAACGATCTCATGCAACTGCAAACCAAAATATGCCACAGGGGTAAACAATGGCTGTTCTCATTTCTTGACATGAGACAAAAATCTGAAAGAACTGAAAAGTCAGAGAGATACAGACCCTTCAACATTTCCCTGTCCACAGTAATCCCTGAATGACATGCACTCACTCTTCATCCTTGAAGCACCAATGCTGCATCAAGTTTTGTAACATCGTCAAACACACGTAAACTTTATATAAATATAAAAGAATGAGATGTCAGAGTTATGCTTTATTTACATCTGATTCAGAACCATGCCATGCTTACAAAAGTTCATTCGCACACGTTAAGCTTTTGGTTGGCACGCAAAACTACAAAATATGAGTTTTTCTCAGAGATACCAGACCACCTTAAAGCCTCCAAGAACCTTGGTTTACAAGCATACTGGACATGTCATTAGTGAGGCATTGATATGCTTCAGAGCGCCCCCCCCCAACACACACACACACCACTTTTTTAAGAAGCTGAAGCATGCAGGTAGTTGTTTCAAAAAGGATAGTGTCAACTTTGCAGGATGTTCAGTTAAACTCATAGTCCTCATTATTCACAAAACTATAAAGTAAGGTCTGTGTGCTGTACTGAATCAGTCACATAGCATGGATCATGTGCAACCGAAAAAATATATCCAGATGCAGCACCAGAGCTACCTGGAACAGCTGCCTTTTAGCTGCTGCATGTATGCATCCCATCTATTGAAATCTTTGGGGTATTTTTCTCTGCAGTGTCACAAAATTTTAATCAGTCAAGTTCAACACTTCTGCTTGCATCGCATTTTCTTTCTTTTTGAACAAGAAATCACTTCTCCCTTGATATGCATGTTTTACTTACAGAGCTTGTTCAACATTTGATATTAGCCTGGCTGAGTCCTTGAAAAACAAAGTGACAACCTCTTCCGCAAAATTAGGACTAGCTTCATCCTGCAAGTCTTCCACCTGGCAAAATTGCTCATCTAGGTACCCCTGTCGATGAAATAAAACTTACTGAGTCAGCATTTGGTATATAAAAGGAAAACATTGAAAACCATAAAACAGCATAGAATAGTGTCTGCCACGGATGGGATCAAAAGCAGGCATGCTTATACATAAGAAAAAGGTATGATCGAACTTCTAGGTCCTTGTGAAAGCATAAAGATAAAATATTGATTAGAAATCTCCAGAGTATAATACAGGCCTGATCAAAGAGACTCTTTTTCATGGATGCAGCTTGGCAACGCAAATTAGAATAATCCATTCGTATGAATGAACTAGCCAAAGGGTGGCAAGGCGAAGGTGATACAGGTAGGAACACACTTCACAAGTTACAAGACATATATAAACTGGTGGGAATGGATACAGAAAGTTGAGCATGCCATATGCTTATATAGTGGAGGAGGCAGTTACTATTTGTCTACCAAACATAAGTGAAACTTAGATATTCCAGTTTCTGGATAACAAATGTAAGCATCTTGCATGCACAGGTGATTTGATTGCCACGGTGTGCACAAGCTATCCACATTTTGGAGAGTGACTTGAATAGATGCGGATTCTTGTAGCCTGTATCTCTTTATAAGAGATATATGTTGGTTTATAACAATCGCAAAGAAATCATTAAGGCCCCGTTTAGATCCTTGGAATTGAATTCATTCGAATAATTATAATTTAGGCATAGATTAATTAAGCTAATGTGGTTGTATATGGAATATATTTGTATGCTATTGTTAGCCATACAAGGGAGATACATATATGTTGCATTTCTACTATAGGAAAGTGAGTTGAAGAGCGTGCTATAAGTTGGAGAGTAGAAACATAGCATGGTGATCTATAGAATCAATTTCCATCTCCCACTATGAATTTGAGATAGGTTTATATGTGAACTTGAAAAAGTTGTGGAATGTCAAATTCCAAGCCAAATAGCCTAATCCATTAAGTAGATTCCAATTCCTCCAAAATGAAATGATCCAAACGGCCCCTAAAGGAACTTACTTTTAGGAATTATCAAGAGTTAACCTGTTTCATGGCATCCATACAATTTCCCGAATAAACTCGATCAAAGATAGAATTAGCTGAGACCAGCAACAACGGCTTTCTGTAGGTGTACGTAAAACATGATACAATACTGCATTATTATTTGACTTGACACCCCCACATAAAAGTAAACACATTTGAGCGAAGAGAATTAAGATCTAATACAGTATACTTCTAAATTTTCTCACGTTGGATTGCTCAAAAGAAAACATATTCATGGACTACTAGAACAAGTGAAGAAGTCTCTGGCATGATTTTAATACAGAGTCATCGAAGTCTGTAGATTGCAGCTTAGAAAACATGGGTCAATCATGCAATTTAGTTAAGCTGAAGCACCCTAAATTACTTCAAAATTACATCAGACAAACAGTTTAAAGCTTTCATTACAACCAGCCTACACAGCTGAATCATGTAGATGGAAGCTTTTCCTAACTCCATACATGGTATCAAAAGATTTAGCACCAGAGATATTCGGTTCTCATTATGTGCTAATCAAGTAATCATTAGCATTTAACAAACTATCGTTTATTCACTGTTCACCTATGCGGCAGTTTAGCTCATTTAAACACCGTGTAAACGCTATTGCCACAGATGAATAAACAACAAACATTGTCTGCATGCAAGCTATTCAGTCAGTACCTTCCCCGTATGGTGACTAAATATTCACAAATATCCCAAGGCATATGGTCCAACTGTTCATTCCTATACTGTTGTCTCTATCAATTTCATAAGTGAGTATTCTCAAGGCAATAATTTTCCTTCTGCCACAAATCTATTTGTCATTCATTATGTCCTTTTCTATGTAGAAAAGGGATAATGAACATGGCCCCTTCAATAAAAACAAAAATTCTCAAGCTCTATATGTTATGTAAATCAAGATGATACACCCACAAGGACGACATCTCCTGGAAGGAAAGCTGCTAACAAACTCGACAAGCCTGAGCTCATCCATCTAATCTCCCAGTTCCCCCCATCATCGTCTAACTAGAAACTAGGAAGATTTCTTGGCAGCTGCTGTCATCTTGACAAGCGTCATCACCTGGGAGCCTTGGAAGTTGGAAGAACAGCTAAAGGACTGTAGAATGGAGCTAATCTATTTTGATTGCTAATTTGACATTTTTATCAAACATAAAAAGATAGTTCTAGTGCATGAATAAGCATCAGGACAAAGCTAAGTTTTTTTAGCATTTGGAACTTTGAAGCTTGTCTTTCCTGGTAAATACTTCACACTATAATGTCTGGCTTCCACATATCAAGGTCATCCATGCTCTACGGCTTGCACATGATCACATTATCAGAACTCAGAAATCCATTTATAGCATCAAAGACTAACTTTCCACAATCTAAAAGTAGCATCTGCATAGCACAACATGAACTGGATGTGCACGGTACCTCCAAAAGCATCCTCATGGATTTCTCATCCACAGTGTTCCAGAAAGGAACCTAGATGCTTGGTTTGATGTGTACGCTCCATTACTTTTTGGCACATTAGTAGGTTTCTGTTCTCACCTAGAAAGCACCAACTTGACCAATTCGGCCTGTTCGCTGGTTGGTTTCTGGGCTGATAGGCCCGGCTAGTGCTGGTTTGTTGTGAGAGGAAAACACTGTTGGCTGGCTGATAAGCCCTGACTGAAACCAACAAGCGAACAGGCTGATTATTTCTCCACTCAAAATTTACTTACAAATCAGAAACTTTCCTCTTCCATTGGATAAGGTGCACCGAGAGTTAAGTTTTTGATGAGGATATAACCTGTGGTCACTAAAACACTAACAAAACATTCACAAATCTTTTGAGATGCACTACACATAGTGAGCAGACACAGCATGATCTTCTGCAGTTCAGCAACTAACTCACTGGAAGTCATACTTCCAGATTCTGAAGCTATGCGCTAGAGATGCAAGTGAGTAGCCAATGGGGTTTTCTTGGTCAGCTAATAATTAGGTGGGACGGCCTTTTAATTCATTTTAGCAAGTTCTAGGTGCACACAAGTGACAACTATCCAAACATGATATAGAAACGAGCACTAAAGCTTAACCGCCAGGAGCGATCTTTTTCATTCTATTACTAGAAAATAAAGATCGCACGGTCTTAGCCGTCATGCTCCCTCAGTCCCTCTAGATTGGTTTGGTGTCACTCTCATACCAGAACCAATTCCCTCCTAGCGACATCGGTAGGGAGCGGAAAAGAAAGGCGTGGGTACCGACCAATCGAGAGAGGAGAGAACGACACGTTGATTCCCCGATAGCATCCTCCCCGTCCGGATGAGTGCGCCGGCCCGATCTCCCCGCGCGGCGCGACGTGAATCGGAGTTCAGCTGCAGCTTTCGCATCCGGGGATGCCAAAACGGGGGGGGGGGGGGTGCGCATGGCGAAATGCGCGCGGGAGAAAGGGCGGTGGGAGCTCAAAGCGACCTAGGAAGGTGATGCCGGCAGAGGGTGAAGTGGTTAGTGAGATACCCAGTGTGGGGCGCAGCCGCGCAGGACGAAGGGGACGGGGGCGGCGGGTGGCCGATTTGGGTGCTGGCTCTGCGTCGACGCGGAGACGTGGAGAGCCAGGTGACCGGTCGGCGATGGATCGTCGCGTCCGCCGATGCGTCGGAATTGGACCTTACCAGTGGCGCTCATTTTTTTTAAAATTTTAATCTTTTTTAGTTTTTATTTTAAAAACATCCCCATTTATTTTTATTTTTTTTTAATTCTTTGGTCGCGCAAACACGTCTGGTGCGACAAAATAACGCTGTCTTGCAACATGCGTTGGCTTGGCAAGATGTGCCACGTTGGACGACTATTTTCACGTGAAAGATCTTATCACGCCACTCTTTTTGGCACGATAGTACACTTTGGTCGACGACTATTTTCACGTGAAAGATCTTGTCACGCCACTCTTTTTGGCACGATAGTACACTTTGGTCGCTCTAGCAGGAGTGACGTGATAAGACTTAATCTTATAAAAAATCATATCTTTTTCAAACAATGTTGGATGAAGATGATTTTTATATGAAAATTGAGCTCGATGAGATCTACAACTTCCTAGTTTTGAGTTTTTTCATTTGAGATCGCTGGGATGGTCCGAAAAATTATATAAACTTTCAGGTGCATAATAATCACATACAAGCGTTTATCATCTTAGAAAATTAATATCTCTCTGTATGATGTCAAATGATGATACTTTTATATAAAATACGCTAGGCACCTGTGGGGGATACAACCCCAGATACCCACAGTAGATCACATGGGCTGTGCCCCCAGGGGCGGCTCAGCCCACAAGACGAAGCCTTGTGGGGCACGACGCTGCTCGGCGCCTTCCGCAAGACACTGGAAAGATATCCTGACGATACTACGAGATCTATTAGGATACATATGATCCCATGATTCCTGTAATTTGTTATTACTTTCCGGTTATCTCTTAGATCTAACCGACTTGTAACCCTACCCTTCCGGACTATATAAGGCGGACATGGACCCTCTCCAAACACACGCAACATCATACGATAACCAATACAATCCAATAAACCACAGGAGCAGGGTATTACGTCATACTGACGGTCTGAACCTATCTAATTCGTGTGTCTCTGTTGCCTTCTTATTCTCGATTACACGCATCTCTGCCGATCAATCTACCTTCGTGGAATACCCCTCGAAGGACTGTCGATGATATTATGTCGACAGTTGGCGCGCCAGGTAGGGGCGTGCGTGCTGTTTTCATGTCGAACAAGATGGTACGTTTTGCAGGCTCTTCGTCCCTCCCACAGCCCGGCCAGATCTTCACGGTCGGATCAATCTCGTGGATCATCAACGCTAACGGAGTCGGAGACCTCGTCGAGCCGGTGCAGATCAATACTGCGCCGATCACCCCAACACCTACGACTGCAGATCCAATCTCGAAACCACCTCTAAGGTTGCTTTCAAGTCACCGCCCGCTCCCCCGCTACCAGAGGAGGCAAATCAACAACGACGATCTGATCGCATCCATCGATCGGGTTGGCCAGAAGCTCGCCAATTGCCTCTCCATCGCTGAATTGGCTCTAACCACTCTGGTTCAGCGCCGACCATCCTCCGGTTTAGATCTATCAGAGGAAACTCCAAGGGTTACGACCCTACCCTTTGGGCTCACCAATGTCGCCGCCACTTATCAAGATGCCCTAAGGGGCAAATTCGCCGACCAGGTTGGAGCTGTCCATCCTCTCGCCGAGCAGATCGTCGACCAGGTCTCGCCGACCATCAACATGCTACACGTCGGCCGACGCCTCGAAGCGTCCCTCCAAACCATCCTGGTGGAGAATCCAGACTCCGAGTCCCAGGGCTCTACGAAGACTGTCGTCGAAACCGCCATCGAACAACCTCCTTCCCCCCTTCCGTGGAGGCGCAATCTTCAATGTTAGCGTCGACAGCCCCCCACGGGAAGGGGAGACCGAGGAGGACCGTGCCGCCCGCATCAATAGGAACGTCAACCGTGCTCAGTGTCGAGCAAATGAGGGTGCCCTTGTGCTAGTCGAGGCTCAGCTCGACTCACAAGGAAGTCCACGCCAACTCCAATGCAACCTCGACGACGAATTTGTCCGTGTTGATGGCCACGACGTCTACAAGACCCCAAGCGCTAACTTGGTCATGGCCGCCAACGAGCTCGCTCGGCTCCCGCACACACCGAAGGTCGCCAAGGTCTCCGCCATGCTTAAAGCGGCGCACTGTTAGGTCAACGAGATCCGCTAGGATCAAAGACCTTCATACTCCACGAGCTCGATTCGCCGATCAGCTGCGCCAAGATCTAATCGCCGCCCAGCCAAAGTCGTTTCGCCGACCAGCACCGCGACGATGGACAACCTCTCTAGGGTGGAGCTAGGGGCAACCGCATCGAACACCCTCGCCAACACGACCAGGAGGTCAACCAGGACGTCCGAGCGCACCTCAACAATCTCCGAGACACGCGACGACGTATCAACGAGTGCCGTTTCGGTCGCCATGAAGAAGAAGTACGCCGCCGTCAAGAATAT